TTCGGAGTGAATTCTACGCAAATATACTATGGATGGTGTAGCCGGAGCTATATGCACAAGAAATGTTCAATACATTTGACAATAGAAATGTGTTCTGCACAAAAATACTGTTTATCGAGTTTACATTTCCGGTGTCAAAATGCTAATTTTAGACAATTTTTTAATGGTTCCCCAGGGGTATATGGAAGGTTTCGAGGGATCACGTGTGACTTTTTGCAAAGTGTGAAATGTACTCTTTCAAGATTCAAACTTAAGCTCATCTAATTTGGTTTTATACTTTTTCGGTATAGAAATATTCAAGAAATTTGCTCTTACATTGTACATATATATCTTCAAAGTTACAGAAACTAGTTCTAGGTAAATTGTCGCTTACAACGTTATTCGCGATGACCATTCAACCTGTAGGGAAAACACGAATTAGCGAACCAAATTTCTAGTTCAGTACTAGTTCTTTTTCGCCAAAAACGAACCAGTCCGATAGTAACTAGTCCCGCACCAGGCCAAAGCAGTGAAATGTGGTACTTTCACTAAACTATTTTATTTCAAATTTTAAACGCAGGGAAGGTAATCATTATGAGAAAAATAATTTAAATCAGCATTTAATCATTATTTTATGAATTATTATTGAGTTTTATTTTTTCGCTCAAACGGAAATAACTATTATTTGATTTTTATTTTTGGGATTACAAATAATGATTATTTTATGATTTTTATTTTTTCGCGCAGAGATTATCATTAATTTTGAGTTTTATTTTTCCACTTAAAAACAATGATAATTTATAAAATTGAAAAGGCCATACAGACGCAACCTGCTGAAATTTTGACCTGAATAGTTTGGGCTTATTTCTCTTATAAGGGTGCGGCTACCTCTCAAAAGAATACGTCGGTAATAACGCTGGTATAATTTTTGAGTTGCTTAATAATCATTATACTTAGTGATTCCATAAACAAAGGCCAAGATCCTGAAGGACAATTGAGAATGGCAATGCAGTTGCAGAAAAAGAGACATTTAAAAAAAA